GTATGCAGGCCATTAATTCCTCCACCACAATCCCCGTCACTCTGTGCATTTGTCTGTGTGCCCACAATGACTACAGCCAACAGATATGACTGTTGGTCTGACAGGTGTCACTCATCACACACGTTGGTGAGTGCGTGTGTGTGTGTGTGTGTGTGTGTGTGTGCGCGCGCATGTGAGTGTGCTTTGTCTCTGTTCCACAAAACCCAAGTAACTAAGTTCTCCTCTCCATCACTTATTCATTTTCAAATTCCTCTCTTCTTTCTCCTCCCTTCTTTTACACTCCAGCCTTCTGAAATGAAGCCAAAGCAGGCAGGCAATTATACCTGTGATGGATGGATGAAGAAATCGGGTGAAAGGGGGCAAATACTGTAGAGGAATGGAAAGAAGGCAGTGAGGGGTTAAGTTACAGGAGGTGGAAAGGGCTACAGGTAGGGGTGTGGATGTTAGAAAGAAGAAGACAGAAAAATGGGGGATTTTATTTTGACTCCCAAATAGCCAATTCATGATCTTGTACTTCCTGCCCAAACTGTATTACTCTGCTAGTTCACAGCCTTTGGTTAAATAGCTCAGTGCTTTTCAGGCCTAGTTTACACCACAGCAAAGCTATGCTAGTATACAGCAAAGCTTCTGAATGTGCTTCCTATGTGTTTAAGTCCAACTAAAGGTAAATGGCGTTTTTTTGAGAGAGAAGAGAGAAATTTATGTTTCATATTTTTTGGTTTCATGATGGCGTCCCCAATTCCTGCATTCAATGGAATACACTTTCGGTTCCTATCTACATAGATGGTGACCTTATTTCAAAACAGCCAATCAAATCTTGCATAAAGCAGTATCATAGGCAGAGCAGACACACATTAGCTTTCCTGCTGAAGTCTCTTTCTTGTCTGACTCTGGCTTGTTGTATGAGCCACCAAACAAACACTTGAAGGTGAACTAAAGGTGAACTGCTAATATCAGTTTTCAGGTTTGATAGCTAATTAGCTGCAGCAGTTAGATGCTGGTGTGGTCCTTACTCTTCAACACCACTAACAACAAACTTTGTTTACTCGTAAACTCAATGTTGCAGGCTATCGGTTGTTGAGATGGTCAGAGTGCTGTGCTCTCAACTCACCTTATTGACATATTGACCATTTCACATTATTCTGGAAACCAGGGAACTAGATGGAGACAGTGACAATATAAACATGGACTTAACGCTGCATATTGAAGTATCCTTGAGCAAGATACTGAACCCCAAATTGCTCCTGATGCTGTGCATGGGTGTTAGAATGCTTAGTTTCAGTTCTGATGAGCAGTTAGCACCTTCCATGGCAGCCACTGCCATCAGTGTATGAATATGTGCGGATGGGTGAGTGTAGCACGTAGTGTACAGCGCTTTTAGTGATCGAAAAGACGAAATACTAGAAACGTATGTGTATATATATATATATATATATATACATATATATATATATATATATACATACATTTATATACAAATGCAGTCTATTAACCATTTAACCAAAATGTCCAGTATGGAAGATTTAGTGGCATCTAGTTGGAGTTGCAGATGACTTGGCTTTTCAACTATAAATGCTTTAAATTTGTGTATTTGGCTGTTGAACTTGGGGATTAAGGAGATGACCATGATCGCTGCTGTGGGTAATGTCATGCCCCAACATCACTGATACCGAATCTCACTCCAAGCTAAATTTAAAACTTAGCAGCCTTGCCTTCTAAGCAACATGCTGATAATTAGAAGGTGATGTTTATGATGTTTACCTTTTGAGTTTTTTACAAATTGTCCCCAAATATAGCTGAGATTGATGGGAATGTCATAGGTTTTGCAGTAATTTAGTAATACACCAAAGCATTGTCCATATTCAAAAGGATGTACAGGTCTGCAACTTCCAATCAAGTTGACAATTATAAATATGCAACGTCCAGTTAGAATTTCAAAATAATGCTTGTGTGGTTAATGTTGTGAAACACCTGCAGTTTGGTCAGGTTTAGGCACAAAAAAGTAAATTAGGTAAGATAACTTTTGTACATTACTTCTGGTTTCACACAGGACATGAACAGTGGTTTCCTGTGTTCGTTTGAAACATCCATCCTTTCCACCACCTCCATATGCTGACTTTCTCTCTTGTTATACTACCTCCCCTGACTTTGACAGCAGGTGCCTCTACAAATTGGGCTAAAGGGATACCTACAGTGTCATATTTTGAGAGACAAAATATGAGACATTTCACTCAAAACCAAATCAGTGAGCCACACTGTAGCCCTGGGTAACATGTTCCATCATTGCCATGAACACACTGTTTTTATTTTGACTCAATCCTACATACACTGTCCTGCTGCCCCAAATACTCACTTGAGTGCCACTATGGATTAACATGAGGCTGTTTGAACAAAAACACTATTTATTCCTCTTTCAGTAACACTTTATAAAAACTACTGTGATCAGCTGGTTTAGGAAAATAACCTGAACTTGAATAATAGAAATGTGTGACCTGCTTTTAAAGATTCATGTTTTCTTGAGCCACAGAGGGTAGAGAAGTCGAAACATATTGAGAAGCAGACTAATACATTGTTTTTAGTCTTCTTATGGGATTTGTTAACAATAGGAAAAATACAAAATAATGCCAGCCTTACCCAATAAATGTATTAAGAGATGGTATCAGTATTTGTGGAGGATAAATATTTAGTCTTAACTATTGAGCTATGGAGAGAAAGGCAGTTCAATTTGATAGGGCTGAAAGAAATGAAAGGTTTGATTGCCATAAATGTGAGAGATTAGATTGGCTTTATTTGTTAGGATCCCCATTAGCTGTTCCCACAGTCAGTCTTCATGGGGTCCATGGACTTTATAGTTACACCCACAAATGGAGCGAAGCCTGCGAGCTAGTTCAGGCAGTCAACTGGAGCTGCGCTGATATACACACATGACATGCCTCACTCCATAATCACTAACCAAGCGCTCCCTTCCAATCTGGCGGTCTATTTAAACTGCACAATTTCCCAGCTCTCCCTCTGCTCTGTCAATGCCGCTGTTGCCCTGCATCCGTATTGCTGCCTGCTGCTCTGTAAGCCCCCCCACCACCCAGCATCCACCTGTAGGCTCCGACTGGGGTTAAGGTATTTGCCCATCACTCCCCAATATCTCTATGTAAACATATCTGCAGGGAGTGATGAGGTCGGAGCCTAGACGGCAAAATCTAAATATGCTATACTGCTTTAATAACGTGAGTTGGCTGACTAAAATAAGCATCTTTCTAGGAAGTTCAAAAGCCAGTTCTTGGATCAACCTCTTAAACAACCTATATCTTCTTTCCATACGTTTGCCTATTATTCATATTAGGTACGATACATTTTTACTCAATTACTTAAATGCTGAGATCTCAGAAAATAACAGCCACAGTACAGTCCTAACAGGGCAAGGAGCTTGCTGCCTTACAAGATCACGTGAGAATCTGTCTTGCCGGGCTTTAAACTATTGACTTGTGTTGAACCACAATGGTTTAGATAGATCATCATCCTTTGAGGAACTACTAGCAGTGTGACACAGCTAGAAGCGACTGTTCTTTCACAACAATGGCAGCTCCTAAAAAGATGAATGTAGATCAGCAGAACTGGAAATTATTTCTTCATTGAAAGAAGAGCAAACACTAAGGTTTTTGCTCTTCCTCCAGCAGTCAGGTTTCTCTGGATAAATGAAAATGGAATTTCCCTTAAAAGATATATGCCCTGGTTTTGGAGACTCTGTCTTTTCTCACGAGCACCCCGAAGCTCACTGTTCATTTTCAAAAACTTAACACAGTTGATAGTGTATAGAAAATCAGGGAGCTTGAGTTATAACTTGAGCATGTGTTAGGGATGGGGCCGATCCGATCCAGTATCGGTATCGGGACCGATACCAGCGTAATTCACGTATCGGAATTTCCCGATCCAACCTGCGCAGATTTCTGATATCCATGAGCCATGTCTGCACTTTAACTTTGTCTGCTGAAATGACTGCACAGGTGATTCCTGCCGGCCAGTCTGCTAGCTGGCTGCAAACTGTGGAATGGATTTCCTGAACGGAGGCGCGGCTCAATGAGACACAGAGTTATGAGACACGCCCCCGCTCAGGAAATCCATTCCACAGTTTGCAGCCAGCTAGCAGGATAGCATTGAGCAGCATTGTGGCTAGCCAACATGTCCGTAATTCAGAGACGCGGAAGCTCCCTCGCGTCGTACAACACTACAGAAGCAATCAAACATTTAAAAAAGCACCACACGAAACAGCACAAGGATTTTTTAGGCGAGCTGTCAGGAATCACTTCTGGAGTCATTCCAAAAACAAAGTAAACTCCAGGTAGACAACGTGAAAGCTAAAGGGATAACCGAGTGTGTGTGTGTGTGTGTGTGTGTGTGTGTGTGTGTGTGTGTGGGGGGGCGTGCGTGTGTAAGACGTTTACAGTTATTGCACTTTTCTTATATTTCAGATAACTGACATTTTAAAACCTTGATTTGTTGATACTACAAGAGTCAGTGTACTTGATGTGTGCTGTTCAGATGCACACTGTTTTATTGATAGTGTGTGTGTAAGATGTTTACACTTATTGCACTTTTCTTATATTTCAAGACTCAAATATTTGACATTTTGGGAATTTAATAAATATTGACATGACAATCAATTTGAAACCCTTACAGTTGCATATTTGTTTTCAGGATGGGATTTTTCCTGTTAACAGGATTTCCTGTTTTTCTGACTTCCTTTTCTGACCTTATATTTACCTCAAGTTGCCTTTTGGGACATACATACGTACATATCATACTTGCCTGTTGAGAGGAGTTTATTTCAGCCTCATATAAAATCAACAATAATGATAATAATAACATTAATGCAAACACAGCTCTGGTATCGGAATAGTATCGGTATCGGCCGATATCCAAATTCAGGTATCGGGATCGGATCGGAAGTGAAAAAATGTGGATCGGTGGATCCCTAGCATGTGTGCTTTGTTTGGTTTTTTTAGGTTGGTTGGCTGAAGGATCTGATTCACTCAGTGGAGAAGGAATACCTCCACAAGAAAGCTCAGAGGAATCGCTACAGACAGATGAGCAGAGACAAGGTAATTAAAGGGCCAATCAGTCATTTTTTGACCATATAATTGACAAGAGTTTGATTTGTGTTGGCTTATTAGGTTGTATTTAGTTGTGTTACTTCTTGTGGCATACAATTGAGATTTACACAAACACAACTTAAAAACATTCAAGTTTGCAGATAGTAGAGCAGTTTCGCTGCCATTTCACAACTGTCAATGTAACTGTATGAAAAGCACCCAATACTTGCCTTAACTGGCATTAAATGTAAATATCTGCTATCAGACGGTATACATCCGCTGCACCAAACATGATGAAGCGAGCCAACGGGAATTCCAAGCTTTGGAAAGCTTTGTAGTTGTGTTTGGAGTAGTTTGGGGGTGGATGACTGCATGTATCTCAAGTACATGATATTTAAAAGCAGCCTTGAATATTCATAGTTTTTCCGCATTCCACTTGATGCATATTTATGATCATGTGCATGTTTTGCTCTGGCGATTTACATGTCGGTTCTGTGTGCTATGAATATTTATGAGAAGTCCATAGACCAAGGAGACTTATTATATTATTGTTCTGACTGACCTGGGTCACGTTTGCACTTTGCATTACCAAGTTGGCTATTGTGCCCCTCACTGTATAACTGTATAGCATGATGTTTTGTAGCTAATGTTAACAGCCACCTTGTTAACTGCTAAATAATGTAGCAATTATGTCAAAATGTAGTAATGACTATGCTGAGTGATCACAGCCTTTTTTCCTTGTCTTTGGTCAGTGTCATTTCTGTTTTGACTTTATTTACGCTACACAGTGTTGTGCGGTGCCGAGCCGCACACATAGAGGAGTCATGGCAGACTTAAACTGGCAGCAGAGATTTATGCATGATTAAATAAAACTGGCTACCACTCCAGTTAAACTCTATATAAATAGATATACAATTATATATATGTATTTTACTATTTCACCACACTTTTCAACCATTTTTATTTATTTACATTGCATTGTGCCAAATAAGTGTAGATCAAAAGCAGTATTGTTTAGTATGTATACGGAGATCCCGAAGTCCTGACAGATCTAATATCCATCAACAGAGATCAATATAAAATATTATGTTTATTTTGAGGATACTTCATTCATTGATCACCCTCCAAGTGTGAATGCATGACATTTTCCAAACCTATATAGCATTAATATTAAGCGTGGACTCATTTATGACAAAGAATTGAAAAGCTTATATTGAATATGACATATCTGACCTGATCAACATGTTGTGTAATTACAATGTAAACTGTTACAGTGTGCAGGCTCTACTAGATTTTATGCTGGATATTATTTGAATTGAACAAAATGAAAAAACATGTCTTTAAATTACATTTCACAGCTGGCATTTTAATGTTTAGGAGGTAAAATGGTAAATTTCAACTTGCTGCTAGCACTACAGGAGAGGTCTGGGGATCACCAAAGTCATCATAATACATCATCTGGGAACCATGAATGTCTGTACAAAACTTGGTGCCACATATTTCACTAAATAAGTGAAAACTGATGTGGCACTAGATGAAATCTGAGGCTCACCAATCATTAAAACGTATCCTCTGGAGACCGGGAATCTCAGCACAAAACGTAATTCATCCAATAGCTAATTGCTTTTGCCATCCCTAGAGCCATGTGGGTAAAGCTTAAAATGAATCATATTCTTACTTTCTGTTTGGACCTGACTGAGCAAAACATTTGTTTTTAATTGAATAAAACAATAGAAAGGAATCTAATTGAAACAAATATATATTTTATATATACATAGATGTAAATTAGAATTAGAATAATTATAATTAAGTTGAAAAGTTAAGTTAAGTTAAATTAATAAATAAAATGCAGAAGATTTAAATAATTCCAACAGTCTACCCTGTCTGCCCTTTGTTCAGGGCCTAAGGCTAACACTTTTGGACCCATGACCACTGAACTGATCAGCATTATCATTTGTTACATCCTTCTTAATTCATTTTTCTGCTTGCAGGCCAAATTAAGGAAAAGATCCAGGATCTCCAGAGAATTATTTCCAACCCCTGCAACTGAGCACAAAGTAACTAAGAGTATCACACCTTCAGCTGAAAACTGGTTCCTGTGTCCCGGTACCAGGACACCTGGTGTGGCCAATGAAAGGAAAGTTGTTCCCAGCTAAGTCATTTATAATGTGTTTGACACTGTGACAATGAGAGAAGCTCACCAGAATTGTCTTAACAGTTTAAATTGTATTGAAGCACATGAGAATTGTGTTTCAGATTTGTAAAATGTGTGTTACCGTAAATAAATACCTATAAATATTTTTTGTGTGTCTTGATTAATGATAAAACCATATTGTAGTGACAAAGGCAGGGTGCAGGTAGATCATATCCCAGCTGATGACATTTTGCACTCCCAAGCATTGGCTGAATGCAATCATTGACAGTATATAATGTATGTATGTAGACGAAGCTTCCGAGTCTGAGAAGTGAGGCCAGTGCTTAAGTACCTTAAATCGGCATTCTTCCAAATGGCCAGCAGGGGGCAGCTCCATTGGCTGCAAAAAGAAGCCTGACTGCATTTAATGTAGACCTGACTTCTCACTTCATTCAGTAGTTTAGTAAACAGTTTCCTAAAGAGTTTATGGTCTCACTCTCTAGTTTCAGTCTTCTTCCATACAGCATGATGTTCATTTAGTAAATGATGGTCCCATTTAGAGTAAAATAGACGCACCAAACTCAGATCAAACTGTCAAACTAAGAGACTGTCCACACGAATATGCGGCCTCACCCGTCGTTTCGAAAAAAAACTCTGTAAACACAGCGTTTCCAGAAATATCTGCGTCCACACGGATTCACTGAAACGACCCAAAACGCTGTAGTACATATTCCAGGCCTGTATGTGGCGCTGTGACGCCGCCACACCAATACACTAAAACCAGAAGAGAAGCCATGGAGCATGCGCTGTTTACAAACAAGTAGTAGTAGTCCGCCATTGTTGTTGTTATGACGCGTCTAGTGGCAGCGGCTGAGGTTAAAGGCTAGAGAGGCGGGGCTAATACGTCATTGTTTCGGAAAAAATCCATTTACGCCGTCCAGACAACTCCAGGCAATCCGCCGTTTTCGGATTTTCCCACTCTGGGACCCCTTTTTCAAAAAATACCTTTTTCACACCCCGAAAATGCCACATCCGTCTGGACGCGAGGCCGATACGATAAAGTATTTATCGGGATTCGAAAAAATGTATTCGTGTGGACGGCCCCTAAATATGAATCAAGATTGTGTTTTCTACTAGTACTGCACAAACCAATAGGTGACATCACGCTAGGTTCACACTTAAATGCAATGAGGTTGGTAAGGGACTACTTACTTATTGGTTAATGAAAAGAGCAAAAAGATCCCTGACAAGGTAATTGAATCTTATTATCACACTACCATAAAACAGCACTAGCTTGTTTGAACCTCCTTTGAAGAGTCTTTGAATGACTTTTTAAAGAAAGTTGTGGCATTCATATGAAATGCTCTTGAATTAAGTAGACTTGAGACTTGCAAAGAATCCAACAGGCTGCCAAAAACCAACAATCTTACAATCTCATAGTTTGAAAGAAACAACCTTGTCCTTGTTGCTACTCCTCATTCCACACTAGGATAAAATATCCCCTCTTCCTCTACACTAGGAATACACTTTCATTTTGTACTTTCACTCTCTTCTCTCCGTCCTCAGCGGCATTACTCTTATGTGGCACGTATAAATGAACATGCCACAGCCTTGCTTTTCTCTCTTTGATTTAAGCCCTCCATCTTCTCCTTCTCTCTCCCTCTCCCTCTTTTATTTTCTCCTCATCGCTCCTCCTCTCTCACTGCTCTGTTACTTGTTTCCTCGTTTGTCACAACTGTCTCCATTCTCCTAAGCTTTGATGAAAAGTCTCAGGGATGGAGTGTGTATGTGCTGGTGTGTGTTCACTTTAGGTATAACGAGTTGTTTATTTTCTCACGTTTAGATATAGTGGCATGGCAGTCACATGATCATCATTTAATGAAGCCAGCTCAGATGGCTGTGTGTTTGGTGCAAGGGCCGGAGTCTCACTGTGACACTGTGTGGCTGTGCAACATATTGGGGTTAAGCAGCCTCACAGTGAACACAGCTGGACTCTGAGACAGACAGTGGCGAGTGTGACAACAGGGACTAATGGACATGTTGCTAAAAGTCGCTAACTGGAATGTTAGCTGCCATTAGCTCGTGCAGCTAATGTCAGCTGACTCAGGGGTTGCCAGGAGCTAAACCTGGCAACAAAACACCTTGGTTCTGTATTCTCTATTGTCACACTGGCCTCTGTCGACATCGAATGCTGTATTGGGATGCCCGTTCTGGCCATGCTGCTCACAGGGAGCTCCCAGTCCAGCACAGTCAGCGAATAGGACCACTACAGCTGCATGCTACCGCTTGAAGTCCTTCTTAGCTGGTTGTTCTTCTCGCGTTTCCCAACCATAGCTTTCCACACCCTGAACTGATTGGAGACTAGGCATATTTTGAGTATTCCTGCATTCTGCTTTCCCCTTGATCTTTGCTCTGCTGTATGTTTACAGTCTCTCCTTTTCTGGGCAGAGGACCTGGTACACCCCTACACGCTGGATAAATCTGCAAATCAATGATTATGCAGTGCAGAGCCTTTTATTGGATCTTAGCATCTTATATTGTTCATCGATACTGAACAAAGTGAAGCTGTCAGAAGGAGGACACGGAGAGTATCTAAGGTTTTTGATTGCACCGCGAGACTCCAGCAGTGCCTCTTTCCCACGGACTAAAACCCTCTGGGAACGCAAGATGCACATCAAACAAACACCCCTTAATTGTTCTTCCTCCTTTCCCTGAGTCAACTGAAAGTGACTGCCGCGTATCTGACAGCCACCCTCCCTTGTGTTCATGCGTGTGTGTGTGTGTGTGTGTGTTTGGACAGATCAATGCATGTCCAGGGTGAGAGTATGTGAGTAAACAGTGGGAGGAAGCCTCCGCATTTGCACACAAGTCATCACTCACTAAAGCAGAATCATCAACCCAACAGACATCATTGGCCACTCAGCAAGCAGGAGTTCCCCGGGGACGGCCAATCACACGGCATCACCCTGGAGGCATGGACACATACTGGTGTCCTCCTCACTGTCTGCTTCATGTCAATGATCAGTGGGTGGGCTAGATAGACCTGATGTGTTGGTTTATTGGCAGACTCCTGTTAAAAGATAAGTGTGTAGGATTTAGTGATATCTAGTGGTGTCCTTCGCTTCAACCTCCCCGTCCAAGCGAGTTGGAGAAACTACAGTGGTTTTGAAATGCATAAACTAAGCAATAGTTTATTATTGTAAGATTACCTAGGCCAAAGTACAGTTGAGGCTGATGGGAATGTCATTAGTTTTGCAGGAATTTGATCACAAATAAAGTATTGGACAAATGAAAATGCTGACTTGATGATGGCACTAAAAGTTTTCAAAGTTCATCCTGAAGGGGGCATGTGTTTGTGTACCAATTATTTTGCATCAGCAGTAATGGAACACAGCAGCTACAATGCAGCTAAAAAAATCAGTAGCCTAAGGTAAATATGGCTGATATGGGAACACCAGAGTTAAACTAAGCTAAGGCAGAAGCTACAAATGTACTGAGAGCTGAGCACAGAGAGAATTTTAAAAACAGAGCCTTCTCTCTAGCAGCCACACCATGGTGCTTCAGTCCCACTTCACACCTCTCACAGAGCCATTTCTCAACGATGCAGATCATTTTGTACTGACATTCCTACTTATTAGAATGCAAATCAATGGCATCACTATTTACAGAAACATCTGTTATTACATCTGTAACATTAGGGAGGCTTGCCTTGAACTTAGACATGTGTTTCTCACACCAATCAGGCAGCCACCAACACACCAAATCCCTGTGGAGAACCAGTGTGAGCTGGTTTTATTCTTTCTCTCTGTTGCCTACCAGTGTTCATTCCTGGGGCCTCTTCCACGCAGCCACTGTTTGAAGCGACTGTTAACATTTCTCGATGGAAAGTCAATGAAACGACTACGAAGAGACGCAAAATGACCACAAAGAAATGCAAAACAATCTGCACGTCAGTCTGTTCATCTTGTCCTTATGTAGGAGAGGTGGAGGTCCTTTTACATGTTTGTGCTCGGGGTCCTGTCGTCTCATAATCCGCCCATACTCCCTGGCTGTCTTCATCTCTCTCATCTTAACACGGTTCCTGCTCAACTCTCTCCTCTTCCCTCTCGCTCTCCTGCGGGATGGCAGATGTGCACAATGTGGCGATCAGCAATTTGTGCATACATTAATTTCACCACTGAATAAATTAGTGGCATTTTATTGAATGGCGAGACATAGTGAGGAGACCGTGTTGGCATTGTTACTGTATTGGCATCTTAAAAAGATTAATTGTGCCCAAGGTGGTTTTCAATTGGTAAACAATTATTATAATTCTCTAAGCTTCATGTATAATTAATGAGCGGATTAAACGGCTGATGCAAGGCCTCTGTTTCCTTTGCTGGGTGTGGGCATTATAAGAACCTGGTGCAGGTTACAGTAAGTAAAGTACTTCACGTACAATTCATCTCAAGAGCACTTCTAATGTCAAGTGGCACAACATAGTTTATATGTCCATAGTGTACACACTGTGAGCAATATGAGCAGGGGAGAACACATACACACGATTACATATGCAGGAAACTAATGATAAGGTGGTGACCTGTTCTGTAAGACTGCTCAATTAATCGAAATTTGATCATGATTACGATTTTGGGGCCAAACTATCTCAAAACTAATAAAATCGGAGGGAAGCGATTTTTTTTTTCATTTTCTGTTGTGCAACATTGAATAGAAAAAAGCTGAGCCCCTGAATTGGGACACAGCCACAGTCTGCGTATTTCGCGCATGCTTATTTCCGTCCCTCCCCTGCAGCAAGCACTGCACATCATGCGCTCGGTATACTCGCCGTTCCCGACCTGTCGCGCAACAATGTGAAGTCACGTTGTTTTCGTTTGAACAGGTAAGTTAAAAAAAATAATCGTTTGAATAATCGTGATTTCAATTTTGACCTAAATAATCGTGATTATGATTTTTTACATAATCGAGCAGCCCTACTGTTCTGTCAGTACAAAATGTATGTAAGTTATGGTTTTTTGGTCCTAG